ACAAGATCCCTCACCTGCCTCTAGTAGCGCCATCGTAGGACAGTAGCGAGCTCTGAAAATATGTTCCACCAGAGAACCACACAATTCATGACAGATAACCTATTCAGCGAAATAAATTATAGACCCATGGTACAGTTATATAAATTTATGCCTCTGAGTCTTTTCGGCCCCCGGACTGGATGAATGAACATGACTTGCTACTAGTTGTCTCCCTTTAAAAAGAAAAAAAAATTATTAAATAGTTGAATCATGAATAAAAATAAAATGATCATTGTGAACTATTTATAATTGGTAGAGAGTAATTTAATCTTTTGCAAGGTAATTCACTATTCACATAACTCCCCCCAATTCTCCCTAAGAGCCAAATTCACTAAAATAGATGGAAATCCTCTTAAGCTGAACTTTATTATGAAATGTCTCCAAAATGACTGAAAAAAAAAACTTTGAAAAGGTAAATACGGGTTGAAAGTTCAAACAATAACTAAGGGATAGTTGCTATTCACATACTTATTTTTACTTCTCACCAGTGTTTTAAAAATTGGCCTAGGCGGTGAAGGCCCGCCTTGATTTAGAGAAAATCATTTCAAAAAATTGGTCTTGAGCTAGGCAGTTGCCTAGGAGGTCCTAGGCGGCGCCTAGGCAGGTTAGGCGGTCCTAGGCGGATTTGGTTTTATTTTATTTTATTAATTGTGTATTTTTTTATTTTTTAGTTTCATTGTGGTATACATATGGAAATGGTGTACCTAATTTGCAAATGATGGATCGACTACAAGTTCATCCAATTGTGAAATGAATTGGAGAACTTTTGAGGGGATACATACAAAAAAAAAAAAAAAAAAAGAAATAAACTAGGTACAATAACGTTAAATAGTTTAGTCTATGTCAAATGCAATGCAATGATCATGAACAAGAAGAATTTAGTCTGTCATCCAAGAGTTCTCCTCATTACGAGTATATGCTTATTGTTTTTTAAATATTGAACTTGTTGGATGGATGTACTTTGTGTATTCTTCTAGTTTTATTTTTGCATTTTGTCATTCTTTTATTATCCATACAAGTATAGGTTTTTTTAAGTGTAACTATGAACTTATTTACAACATATATAATAAATTTACATAAATCCGCCTAGGCCGCCTAGGCGCTACGCTCCTACCTGCCGCTTGACTAGCACCTAACATTTTTTAGAACCTTGCTTGCTTCTCACATAGTCTTGTAAATTTTTATCATTGATTTTCTTCAATTTATTTGATCTAACGACTGAAAACTGAGAGAGAGGTGTGTGATAAGTAAAAATGGGTGTGTGGATAACACTACCTTGTTTAAATCACTAATGTAAAGTGAAATTCACCTCTAAGACAAACTCCAATGACTGGGGTTAAAACCTAAATTTTCTTAAAAATTTAGGTTTTAACCCTCCTGCAACAGTTTTAGCTTAAAATTTTATACCGAAATTATTAAAGAATTAGTTTAACTTAATTTTTTTTGGTAACTTTTTAAAAAATAAACTTTATGTAAATAATCCTAATATAGTTTTGTAAACATTTTAACCTAAAAATATTTAATTTTCGATGAATAATGAAAAAGCATTAAACCTATCTCATAGTTACGCATATGCACCAAATGAAAGAACATGCAAAACCACACAACCCACCATTCTTAAATAGAAATACATAGGTGGATAGAAAGAAAAAAAAAGGAAGAATTGTTTGACAAAAGTGAATTTTGTGTGGATGTCTGAAAAAATACATAGGTATTTATAGAGTTATTGGATGAATTTTGATTTAGATAATTTTTTTAATTGTTTTAGCTGATGGAATTAATGTTGGGTTGTTAGATTTTCTTTTTACCATTAGATTTTTTATCACAATCGTTAGATTTAATGTATTTATAAATTTGATTTGAAAACATATTGAATCTAGATTGTTGGTTAAACTAACAGTCCAACCACGTGGGTAGTCGTTTGTCTTTCTGCAAATGGCTAACAATGTTAGCAACTAGGTCCCAACGCCACTAACCTTGGATGTGACAACACATCCCGAATTATTTTTATCGGTGGTGTGAAAAGACTAAATTGCCCTTGGATGTTAATTGGTGTTGTGGGTGATATGTTTTGGTTGTGGGCCAATTTATGTTAAGTCCCTAATATTTTGGAACCAATTAGGAACTTAGACTTAGGTTTGTTTTCTTGTTTTTGGTTGGTTGCAAACTGGACCACACACACACACCCAAACCTCTCCGTTGACTCTCTCTCTCTCTCTCCTTCTTTCGGATTTCATCCATTTTCCGTACAGTTGTATGGACAAACCTTGGACCAATCATTTCATGCATGGATCGAAGATTTGAAGGTTGGTTTTGGACTCTTAGCAAGCCCAGGAACTCATCCATACCCTTGGTTGGACGTGAAGCCTTCAAAAACCCGAGAACCAAGAATTCTCGATTTGGTGCACTGTTCATGCATTCATGATCGTGGACTTTTCTTCGAGTTTTAAGGTTCTAGGAAGCTTTAGAACATCTTCACGAAGCTTGTGGAGTAATTTTGAAGTGTTTTGGACATCAGGAAGCTCGAGTTTATCGAGTTGCAGAAGTGGCTAGATTATCGTGGGTTTTTCCAGCGAGATTCTGTTGGATTTAGTGCTAAAAGTGGTAAGGTTTTGTTCTACTCGTTGTAAGCTTCATTTTGGTACAAATTTCATGATTTTTGGTTAAGAAATGAGAAAGATATGAAGTTTTAAAGTGTTTCTAGAAATCGGCGAAAATTCAAGTTACTGACGGCGGCAACCGGCGAGGCTCGTCGGAGAAGGAGATGAATATTCTGTCAGAGTTGATGGAATGTTCTAACGGCGTCAGGTAACACCGTTAACTTCTGTTAAGATTGTAACAAAATATTCCTAACGGCAGTTAACTATTCCGTTAGGGTTGGCCACACGTGGGGGAGTGTCTGGCCGTGCCTTGGCCAGTGCGTGTGTGGTCGGAAAATTTTTCTAAAAATATAGGGATGCTCGTGGTGTTGAGTATATCATGTTGGTATATTAATATGGGGATGCTCGTGGTGTTGAGTAAATCACGTTGGTATATTCAAACACCCCATTTGAGCAATGTTTGAGAAGTTATTAGCTAGTTTCATTTATGTGTTTTAAATTAACGTTTTTATAGTTGTTTCACATATAGGTGAGACCTATCCTCAGGATGAGCTTAATCAATCGAGGCTTGGAGGCTACGATCCTTCTACATACCAGTGAGTGGGCTTTTGGTTTTCCATATATACCTATATACTTGAGATTTTTCCCAGCAAATCAATTTAAACGAATTTGTGTTTAGAAATGCCATTCATATTGATTTATACGTAGATCATTGAATTAATATGGTATGCATAAATGTGATTTGACGCTGTGAACGCTTAAGTAAGTACCAGGTGAGTTGTAGATTGTTTATGTAAATTGATGATTATGTGAGATGTGTTGAGAGCTCATAAACCTGCACCCCGGTGTTAGTGCTCCCGCCATGGTTATGGCACAGTCCTTCACGTGATGTTCACCTCCCGCACCATAGGCTCACCTTGGATCCAAGTTAGGTGCACAGTCCTGTCGTACAAACCACTATAGGTGGTTCCGACTTGTAGGTGACCTGCGATTATTCGCACAATCTTCACGTGATCGTAGCAGTAGAGCGCATTTATTTACAACCAGTCCTGTCATACAGACCACTATAGGTGGTTCCAACTCGTGTGCAGGCATGATGTATGAGCTAGGAGTTCAGTCGTACATGCCACTTTAGGTGGATTAGGCTGATATGTTATTTCTCATTGATCTATTTTACCTGAGTTACTTATTCTATTGTATTGAGATATTTGGCATGACATATTTATGATTAAAGCTTGTTGAGCATGGTTCTAAGATATGAATATATATATATATATATATTCTATTTTATGGGAAATTATACAGGTTTTACGGCGAGGGGTTAGAACATTTGAGAAATGAAATGGTTTTGAAAAGCTTTGTTTTTGCCCACTCACACTTTCTGTTTTGCGCCCCTTCAAATTCTAGGTAGGAGTTATCGTTGGTGGCTTACGAGGTTTCCAGTGGAGGTTCTGACAGAATTCACAAATGTAGGATCACCTTTGGGTGTTGTATAATTAGTACTTGTCCTATCGGACTGCACCTAGGTTATTTATGCTCTGGTTGTGTATTTCACACTTAATCTCGCACTAGCACCTTTTCTTAGCTAGTATTGTTGGTAACTTGGTTTTTATTTATTCGTATTTCTCTATATCAATATTGCTTCCGCATTGTGCACATGGTTACGTCACTCTCACATCAGGGCCAGCATGCCTCGATCTAGGTCGGGGTGTGTCATTGGAGAAGCTTTATATGAGTTTAAAACTTAAATTTTGAAGCCACTCAGTACTACGGTCTGGTGGTATTCCTCTTCACTTGGAAGTGATAAGTCTTAGGTTTGAATCTCGTAGATGGCGAATTCGATACCAAATTAGGTTGCCTATTGTGTGGCTTAACCGAACTCCCCATCTCTTTAGTGTAAAATATATCAATATACTACGAAAAAAAAAACTTAAATTTTGAATTTTAACCCAAACCATTGGAGTTAGGTATAGAAGGGACCAAGTAACCAACCCAACCCATACCTAATATGGTGGCATGAAGAACTTTACGATAATTAGAAGAAATGTGAGGTTTGTTGTAATCTTTACTAATTAATGGAAATCCTCTTTGTCAACCAAAAGAAGGTGAAAAGATAAATTAGTCTTCTATCACACAAAAAAAATGATGGGCAATAATGTAATTTCATAGGTCCAAATTTTATTATTTTTTATTGAAACCTCACCTACATGTGATGTTAAAATACCTTTAATATTTAAAAAAAAAAAAAAAAAAAAACAGAAAACAAATACCTCCCACTCCCCCACATTCTCTCTCTCCTATTTCCCTTCTCATTTTCTAAAAAAATATATTCATACCCACAAAGTGGGTAAGCAAATATTAGTTTTAATGAAATTCTTTCTCTGTACCCTTCACATCGCGGCATCGCCCAAGCGTTTTTTGTTTTCCTAATTTTTTTCTTATTATTTATGGGTTTTTTTTTATAAAAATAAAAATGTCTAGGCAGAGAGGGTCAGCCATGAGGCGTAATGCTAATGTTGGTTCAGTCGTTCATTCATATATATAGAATTCAATTCATCCCAAGTTTGCAAAGATCCTGAAAAAAAAGCCATTTGCTCTTTGCTCTTGCAGTGCAGACGACTGCAGTGGCTTCTCTCTGACGATATTCATATTCTGATAAAGGGCGGCAGGCATTGTGGACTTGGAGAGAGGAGAGAGAGGACATTTTATTTAGATCCCAGCAGGCAGCAGGCACCAGCAGTTGAGGAGTTGGTCAAGAAGAAAGAGACTGGGACAGTTTGGGATTATTTAATCCCAGGACTAATACTCAAATCTGGAGGAAGGGAAGCAGCAGCCCCTCAATCTCAACGGTCAGATCCGATACAGATCGCCTTCCTCGGCTGAACTGATCGAGGCTCAGAATCTGATCCAGACCAATTCTCCACCCTCCGATCCCGACCCCCTCTCCGACTCCGAAAACAAGATGCTCAAGCGTCCCGGCAGGGGAATCGGAATGGGGAATCCCCAGTACGACTCCCTCTCCGACAGAATATACAGATACAGGAGCGTCATCCTCGTCATCTCAATCCCTCTCCTCCTCCTTACCATGGTCCTCTACGTCATGCCTCCGGGGGGTAATTTGAGCAACCAGCTCCCCCGCAAGCTGCCTTCCAAGGCCTCCTTCGCCGTGATCTTCGACGCCGGCAGCTCCGGCAGCCGCGTCCACGTCTTCTGCTTCGACCACAACCTTCAGCTCCTTCCCATCGGCAAAGATCTCGAGCTCTTTCTTCAGGTCAAGCCTGGCCTGAGCGCTTATGCCAAGGACCCTCGCTCTGCTGCCGAGTCCCTCACCAGTCTTCTCGATAAGGCTGAGAGCGCAGTTCCCAAGGAGCTACGTTCCTTCACTCCCGTCCGCGTTGGGGCTACGGCTGGCCTGAGGGCTTTGAAGGGCGATGCTTCTGACCGCATTCTCCAGGCCGTATGCATCTTTTTTCTTGTTTGGAAATTGCAATTTCGTTAATTTTCGAAAGCGTTCACTGTTTCATTCATATGTTTGTTATGTTAATAATTCAAATTTCAAAAGGTTAGGGATCTGCTCAAACAAAGAAGCAGCCTCAGCTCCCGCCCTGATGCCGTTACTGTCATTGATGGAACTCAAGAGGGTTCTTTCCAGTGGGTACGTTTTACTCCAATTTTTGAACTCATTTATATACTAGCTGTACCCGTACCTATAGTATCTGTAAAATGCCTTCTTATACAGAAGAAGAATAATTATGATTCAGCACTTTGGATCACAGTACTTGATTCTGTCATATCTAGTTATTCATTTGTGTATGCTAGACTGTCTAAGTACATCCAATAACTCAACAATTTTGGAAAACCAAGCTCGTTTTGAAATTTGTTATCCGGGAAGCTTGCGTATGTGAGAGAGAGTATGGTAACAAAATTTTGGGGAAGCAATGTGCACATATATTATTTATCTGAAACTAAAAAGAAATGGAAAAGAAAAAAAAAAAAAAAAAAACAAGAGCAGTCATGGCTACACGTTAACTTCCTTCTTGTTTTTCAGGTGACAATAAACTATCTACTAGGAAATTTGGGGAAGAAATATTCAGATACTGTAGGGGTGGTTGACCTTGGGGGTGGATCTGTTCAGATGGCTTATGCTATCTCAGAGGCGGATGCTGCAAAAGCACCCAAGTTATCAGATGGAGAGGATGTATATGTAAGGGAAATGAATCTTAAAGGAGCTAAATATAACCTTTATGTTCACAGGTTTTCCTCTTTCCTTCTGCTTAATTGATGTCAGGATTTGGTTTTGTGTATTAATAATTCATTATTTTGTTTATTGCATGCATTAGTTTCCTTGACTTCGTTGTAACATAACTACTGTAGAACGGTTTTCCTAGGTTAATTGCTTTTGTATTTTTTGTATGCAGTTACTTGCATTACGGGTTACTAGCAGCTCGAGCAGAGATTTTAAAGGTTTCTGAAGATTCTGCCAACCCCTGCATCTTAGCTGGATATTATGGTATGCTGAGTTGCTCCATTTTCTCTTTTTTGAGAAAGAAACGACATTTTATTGCTCAAGACAATAAAAATACACAAGTGGACAAGAAGTTAACAAAAACTCAAGAACAAACAACAAAACAAGAGTTGCTCCATTTTCATCTGAACAACTATCTTTTTTCTTATATTTTAAATCCCAAGTCTTGTTCTTCATCCCTCTAGCTGAACCATCTAGCTTTTAAATATTTTTTGTTATATCTTTGTTTTGTATACAATGCTCCTCTGGAATATATCAAAATTGTCGTAAAGTCTGCAACTCTGTTGACTGCAGAACATTGACCATTGTTCTATATTTTAAATGAGTGAGAAATCATCTGATGTGGGGTGGCAGCTCTATATTGTTTTTACTTTCTGTGTTGTGGATTTAGTGCATAATATGCTGTTTGTTGGGAAATCTTGGTATGTTGTTCAGGTTCTTACACATATGGAGGACAATCTTATAAAGCATCAGCTTCCTCATCTGGATCAAGTGTTGAGGAGTGCAGGGGGGTAGTTACAAAGGCACTCAAAGTAAACGAAGCGACATGTTCACACATGAAGTGCACATTTGGTGGGGTATGGAACGGTGGAGGAGGGGATGGACAAAGGAACCTATTTGTGGCTTCATTTTTCTTTGACAGAGCTGCTGAGGTATTTCACCATTCTTGATTTTTATATATTATTACTTTGATGTGCATGAAAATGTTCATGGTTTATTTTAGACAACAAAATGTTTTTGCTAACCACTTATTATACAAATGCCTTACCAAAAAAACAAAAAAAATGTTGTACAAATGCAGGCTGGTTTTGTTAACCCAGACGAACCTGTTGCCAAAGTTCACCCTGGTAACTTTGAGGAGGCAGCTAAGCGTGCTTGTGAAACTAAACTTGAGGATGCTAAATCAACATATCCACAAGTTGAGGAGGGAAACCTGCCATTCTTGTGCATGGATCTAGTCTACCAATCTACATTGCTTGTGGATGGATTTGGTAGGTCTTAGTTATACTTACTGAGTTAAGCAAGTTGGAAAATGACGTTTCATCTAAATAAAATTCTAATATGTTCGTACCGGTTGCTTCAATATCTTAATCAGGTCTTGATCCCTGGCAAGAGATTACATTGGTGAAGAAAGTTGAGTATCAAAATTCCTTGGTTGAAGCTGCATGGCCACTAGGGAGTGCCATAGAGGCTGTGTCCTCATTATAAATGCAAGTTACATTATCAGCTGAATCACCTATTGGAAAGACAAGCCCTTGAATTTTTGGCACCGGCGGTCTTTGAGCTCCATGATCAGTACTGCCTCAGAAGCCGACCTCATAAACTGATATTGGGCTGAATTGGGAATTGGATTTGGTCTATAATTATGGGAATAATGAGAGAATATAGTTGAATTTGTTTTCATTTGTAATTATTCAGACTTAACTATTCTTTAGAGAACAATTTGATTCAATTAGTTGTACTAATTTTGTCGGCTGAGCAAACAAAATGGTGATACCATTTCCATATTTTTCGTTTGCGTCTGTCCTTGTCGTAGGAGAAAAAACAATTGTTTTTAATTTGTGTTTGCCATTCAGTTCATTTTCCTTCATTTGAGTTTCCAACTTGAATTCAAGTTGTTGGAACCTTAATTACATGCGCAAATAGAAATCATACCCATGTTCTTACTTAGATGGTTTTTGTGTCTAAAATTTGTCTTTCTTTGCACATCCTTATGCATGACTTTTGATTTGAATAAAATCAAGGAATATAAATAAGCAGAAGCGTTAAATTTGGAAAAAACAAAGAAAGAGTTTCTGTGTAAAAGAAGCTCAAACCATGGCCGGAGGATACCATGTGGGCTTGAGATGGTGGGGTTTATAGTTGGGCCTTCCTTGGGCCATGGCGGAGTTTTCGGTTGCGAGCTGTGAAAAAAGTAGAGAATTTGCTTGTGGCTTTTTTATTTGCACAACTTGGTCTTAAACCAAGCCTTCACCGCCAGAGCCAGACTGGGGACAGACTCGTCGCTCGACGCCTATTGATAGTGATAGTACGAAGTTATAAAAAAAGAGGTGGAAATCATTCAGATTTTGAGGTATAATACAGGAGTGAGAATTTAGGATTGCTTGCCTCTGCCGAATTGAAGAGCAGTTGAAAACAGGTACATCTTTTACTACTCGAATTTAGTATTGGATTGGTTATTTTCACAAACAGTTGGTAGGCTTCGTAGAAATGAGAAAAATGGCGAGAATTACATCACTGTACTCGAATTTGCTACGTAAAGACACGCATAGCTATGTATCTGTCGTGCCCATTGCTGCTGCCTTTGCCCTGAAGCAATTCCCTGCTGCTGCTGTATCAGCACCTCCAACGCATTTCTTTACTCCCGTCCTCCCTTGGTCTTCTTCTTCGACTAGCTCACACTCCAAGTCTCCAAACTCGGCTGATGACGATTCCACAGCAGAAGAATCACATGTCAATGTTGCTGTTGCTGACGACGACGAAGATGATGATGATGATACTGAGTTGGGAGTCTCGGATTCGGGTCTTTCTCGAGATGTGAAAAGCATTGTCGACATCTTAAGTTTACGGAGCGAGTCGCTGGGCTCTGAGATGAAGAGGAAGCTCGATCAATGCGGCATAGCAGCCTCGTCAGAGCTGGTGGCAGCGGTTCTTTCACGCGTTCGCAATGATTGGGAATCGGCATTCACCTTCTTCCTCTGGGCCGGAAAGCAGCAGCCGGGTTACTCTCACTCGGTGCGGGAATACCATTCCATGATCTCCATTCTAGGGAAAATGAGAAAGTTTGACACTGCCTGGGCCTTGATTGATGAGATGAAGGGTCATTCTCTCGTCACTCCTCACACTCTCTTGATCATGATCAGGAGGTACTCTTGCGTTCATGATGTTGGCAAGGCTATCAATACATTCTATGCTTATAAACGCTTTCACTTTGTGGCTGCCATGGATGACTTCCATGGCCTTCTCTCTGCCCTTTGCCGCTACAAAAATGTCCAAGAAGCTGAGCACTTGCTCTTCTGCAACAGAAACGCCTTCCCCTTTAACACCAAGAGCTTTAACATTATCCTCAATGGTTGGTGCAATATCATCGTCAGTCCCCGTGAGGCTGAGAGAATTTGGATGGAGATGACCAACAGAGGTGTTGTGCACGATGCTGTCTCCTACTCATGTCTCATGTCTTGCTATTCAAAAGCCTCTAACCTTAACAGGGTGCTCAAGCTCTTCGATCGGATGAAGGCAATGAAGATTGAACCCGATAGGAAAGTTTACAATGCGCTCATTTATGCTCTTGGAAAAGGCAGACTTCTGAATGAGGCTATCAATTTAGTGAAAACAATGCAAGATAAAGGCCTTACTCCCAATGTTGTCACTTTTAACTCCATCATCAAGCCTCTCTGCAAGGCCAGGAAAATTGATGAGGCTAGACGCATACTTGATGACATGTTGCACCAAGGCCTTCTTCCCACAATTCAGACTTACCATGCTTTCTTCCGTATTTTAAGGACTGGTGAGCAAGTGTTTGAGCTCTTGGAGAAGATAAAAAGTTTGGGTTGCCACCCAAATACTGATACCTACATAATGTTGATTCGAAAATTTTGTCGATGGCGCCAGCTTGATCACGTGTTCAAGTTGTGGAGTGAAATGAGTGAGAATGGAGTCAATCCCGATCGTAGCTCATATATTGTGCTGATACATGGGCTATTTTTGAATGGAAAGCTCGAGGAAGCCTACAAATATTATATAGAGATGAAAAAGAAACAGTATTTGCCAGAACCAAGGACAGAAGAGATGCTTCAGGCATGGTTGTCCGGTAAGCAGATTTCCACATTCCATACAACAGATAAAGAAGATGATCAATTGGACTGGAGTCACCTGGACATGAACGCTAGAGTAACCCCCAAGAAATCTCATCAGGAAAAAGATTTCCTTCGGCAGCTGGAAGCTAGGAAAGTTGTAAGAGAGCGGGGCTTTTCTTTGTGGGAGCCATAGGTTTCAATGAAATAAGCAATCTCAGTAGTGCCTGATCTTGGTATGCACATGGTCATGGCCGGTCACCAGCATTTGGCATCAAGTTTCGGTGGACTCTATACAGGTGCATATCATTCTCTGTCGGTGTACACTCAACTTTTTACATTTGTTGTCACAAACAAAGAACTAAAATATTTTAGACTCGCCAGTCAACTCAAGCATGTTGTGAACTCCAACATGGGCATTGACATCTTGCAAATGGATTTGTGATTTGGGTTATATCCTCTGTTAAATCAGATTCTATTCTTTATTTTGGCAATTTATCATCCCCTCTTCTGTTTATTTATTTGTTTATTTTTCTGTACATATTTTGATTCAAATTTATTTCATATACTGGAAGTTACACGTTTGAACAGAAAATGGTTTGGAGAAGAGGGGCAGAGAGAGAGAAAATTATTCAGAAGAAATTGGAACATAAAAAACTTCTATGAATGCATAACTACAAGAAACACTTCCAGTACACTGCTATTTTTGTTTGTACATGCAGTGTATTACTTGGTAGTGTGATCGTGTTCACTGTTTTTGGGACCTTTTCATGGATGTTGGACATTATTCTAGTTAACATCAATATATTCAAGAATTTATGATATATCTGTTAAGGTCAGCACAACAATATCACATAACCCCTAAACTCTAGTGGTGACTCCACCACATATATTTGAACTGACATTTTGGTGAATCAACCAGGACTGAGTCATCACAGTTAGCTCATATGGTCTATATGATCGACGATGGGTGGTGGGAATGACATGCACACAATTGTGGTGGCTTTGTGTGCTGTTACGACTGACTTAATGGCATCTTATCATGGAAACTTTTATTAATATCCCTGCAGCATACATTGGTGACAATCGATGTGTGCTGCTGTGTAGTGTTTTGCTTGCAGTTGGTGACAAGTGGCCATAGGTATGTATTGTAATTTGAAAATGGTATAGACATTATATTTACTAAAAATTGTATATTTAATACGTATTGGGATAATCTTACTAGAATGTATAATCTTTATATGAAAAAATTATGCGACTGTCTTATTTGCGATTGGAGTTTAGGGATAGTTCTTTTCAGGCTCCATTTTATGATTGGAGTACTGCTGTGTCTTAGTTTTCATTCATGTAATGTCCGGATGTTTTAGCTCTGTTTTGCGGTTATAGTTGAGTAGTCTAGCTTGTCCAGTGGACAACTTGTACTATTGATGTAATGTTCTTGTTATTACTAATAGCACATTTATTATAAAAACAGAAATTTACTGTTCTTTGTAATTTGACTTGGATTTTGTGATGGACATAATTTTGATTAGACAGAAACGGTTTCCAGATTAGTTGTATATATTTTATTTGCCTACCTTATATACTTTGAAAAACCAAAACCAAAACCATCATGCATATTTTACTTACTAAGTTAGTAGTTCATGCCTGCATTTCAATGGTCAACCTTCAGGTATGAGTTGACAAGAGAAAATAAAGATATTGTTAACAGTTGTGGATCTCATTCTCTAGTCTTTGTGGATAGGCTTGGTGGAACCTTTTACAGATTTTTTTTGCACACAACTTTTTATCGGTTGCTGTATAATTTGTGGATAAAATGAATATCGTTCTAGTTGCAGATCTTTGATACTAAAGGTTTTTGGTGTATGGAGACTCAATGGCATGGGTTTGTTATTAGCATTAGACAAATCCTTGGGCACAGCTATGTAAAGAACATCCAATTAAGTTTATGGATGCTATATGATGGTTGATATGATGCCGATTTTGCATAATATGATCATGATGATTAAAGCATACGTGAATAGATCTTGAAGTCTGAAAATGATCTATGAATTTCCTTTTTTGTTGACAATGATCTTTGAAATTAAGTATGTAAAATTACTTTGTAGTTTTTGAAATTGCATTGAAACGAGTCTTGAAGTTGCTTAAAAACTTAAGACTATTCAACCAAAAAAAAAAAAGAAAACAAAGACTGGTCAACTATTTGGATTACTTCATATTCCATATTTAACACTTCAAATGATGTTTCTCGAATTTTGGGCATGGCTGTCAGGTATAAGAGCAAAAGTATTAGATCTCATTTAGGTTGTGGGATTTGGTATCCTTCTGCTTGCAGAAGTAGTAGTTCTGAAGTTATTGTAAAACCTAGACAAATAAAGTGTCAGATTACATTCTTATCAGAGACAACGAAAAAAAGAGTAAGATAACTAATCCCATATGTAAACTTCCAAGGGATACCAAATAGTCCTCAAATATTACACCTCTCGAGCCACTTGTAGTAGACTATGTTTGTGTTACTGGTAGACCTCTGGTCAAAGTTGACCTGTGTGACTGAGTTTTGCTGCAGATGATTTCTCTGTCTTTCTGATCTACTAACTAGTAATTTTACTTGTTGGTATGCGTATAGGAATAGATAGCCATGTACCAAAACATGTGTGAAGATGATTTTGGTATTTCACATTGATGTTTCCTTGCAAATGGTCTTCAGCTCATTCATGAAAGAAATTTGTTTGATCAGCTATAAAAAGGGGGCTTAGCCCCTCATTTGTAATTATCCAGTTCAGAAAAGTTATCAAATCATTCAGAAATTAAAGTAGAAGGTGCATAATCCTATTTGAGGGAGCTTGTCAAGGGGGCAATTGTCTTCTCTTGAATGTCTTTGAGAATTTCTGGCGTTTAGTCTTTTAAGTTTTTGTGATTGCACTTCCGCTATTTTGGTGCAAAGTGATTAAGGACTTTACTAACTATGAAGCTGTCATTTTTAAGTAAAGTTAATATGATTTAGGTTTCATGTCGGCCAATTAACATAACGGTATAGAAGGTAATAGGAACATAATAAACAAAGAAAATATGTACTCATTGTTTGGAAAAAAAAAAAAACTTGTTTATTTTGAAGTAATAATAGATTAGAGAAATACATGTGCGTTTTGAATTATCAAGAGTATACTTTCAAGTCTCCCACCTTTCCACTATTTTCTGCAGCATCCAATTAAATTAGATAGGTGCACGGGTGATTTTATGACACTGTCTGGCAGACTGAAGCTATAGTACTGCAGGTATGTGCTCACCTGTTAATGGATTGGAATAAAGCTTTTTGCTAAAGTACTATGAATTTTCGTGCTGATTGAGGTGAAGTTTTATAACATGCAGATTTTTGTGCTGTTAAAGGAATATTGAAACTAAACTCTTACCAAACTTGTGTTGAGCCTGTGCTTATCTAATTCAGAAACTATGTTGCAGCCTTTATCAATTCCTCATATTCACGGTTAGTAAACTGTAGTCTCTTACCACTTATACTTAGTCGTGATCTGTTGTGTTGGATAATCCTTTTTAATGACAGTGCTTGTACAGCACCATTGTAAAATTAAATGCTCATGGAAAAATCCTCCTTTTCTTTTTCTTTGATAGCATGGAAAACCTCCAATATTGTTGGAATATAATTTTGGAATTTCCTTTCCTATAGCATTTTAACCGAGTCAATGCGGCTCTGAAAAGAGAAACTAACTTTTTACTTTCAGGGGTAGTTTCTGGTTAGTCCTAGCTCATGTTGTACTGTCTCAAAAAAGAAAAAAAAAAAAAAAAAAAAAAGGTTTGGTGCATGAGCACTTGACATTGGATAAGCGTTATCCATTAGATTAGGTGAACTGCACGTGGAAAACTACTGGGGGTCACGATCACGACCTTTGTAGCAGGCAATCAGCCAATGATGGCCATGCTTGTATATATAATATTACCCCCCCTTTGCAAAGTCAATTTATCTGACCAACTCAATGTGACAACCAATGACATTTGGTTTAGGCTAGGAGTTGAAGTTGCTTCATGCGTGCTGGGTTGAAGCTGGGTGTCACAGAAATGCCTATCATTTACCTAATCTGGAGTTTAAAGATAAAAAGATATAATAGTTGTAAAACTTAGTGTTGAAATGGATCGCTATGGTGGCTTTGAATGAGAATATTGAACGCAGGGGCTGCTTATTGTCATCACTACTTTTTTGTTAAGTCTGTTTTTGCTTTATAAGTTTCTAACCGGAGAGGATATTTGGTATTATTTATTCTAAGTTTCTAACCGGAGAGGATATTTGTTATTATTTATTCTATATCGCCACTTTAGCCATGGTAATTTGACACTCCTCGCTTCTTGGTTATTTAATGTGTAGTTTTCAAACTAGTACCGTATGGAGACTCAAGTATGGGATACTTGGTCAATTATCATAGGACAGGATAGTAATTAGCGTTGTTGATTTCGGTGTTTACATATTTGACGTGATTATTTGATTTGTAGGTGAACTAGTTACCTAGTATTTAGCAATGTTTTAAAGAACTCGCCTCGGGGCGCGCCTAGGGTGCCCTTGAGGCTGGGCGAAGAGGCAAATGCCTCAGTTTTGCTGGAGTGGGCGAAATGCTTCGCCGGAGACGCCGAGACGGCGGAGGCGCGCCTCAAGGCATCTGGACGCCTTGTCAGACCTTTTTTTTTTTTTTTTTTTTTGTTTTTTTTAAAAAATCATCCAAACCCGAAACGACGTCGTTTGGGTAAGGATTTTCAGTCTTCTACCATACCTTCGAATTCGATCTCATTTTTCTGCCTCTGCCTTTTGCCTTCTGCCTTGTTGCGTCTTCTTCTCCCGCGCGCCAGAAGCCCAAAGGCTCAGAACACCGGTCTAGTCGCCACGCCGCCATCACCCCGCCGCCGTCACCTCAGCACCATCAGCCCAGCCCCAGCGCCGTCAGCAAGATCCCAAAGGTTAGGGTTTCTGAAATTAGGGATTTAGTTTTCTGGGGAAGGTTTTGCAACTTTTGCTATAGAGGGGTTAATAGTTTTCTGGTTCTGGGGAAGGTTTTGCATTTTCTGGGGAAGGATTTCTGCGAGAGAGAGACAGAGAGAAAGAAGCAAAGTAGAAAACAGGGGAATAAGCCCACGGTTTTATTTGTCTGTTTTGCAATTATACCATAAACTGTTTTGCAATTATGCAATTATACCATAAACTGTTTTGCAATTATACCATAAATTTAATGCTCCTGCCGGCTGCCATAAATTGTTGCCATAAATTGTGTCTGTGTGCCATAAATTGGCACTTAGATAAATTGTTAGAAATTGGCACTAAAGGGGTATATAAATTAATTAATAAATTGTTAGAAATTGTTGGAAACTGTTGGTATATAAATTAATTAATAAATTGTTGGTTCATTAATTGTATGCATGCATCTATTGTTTATTGTTTAGGGTATTGAAGAATATGGCTTCTTCTTCTAAGAAAGATTTTGTTTGGCAATGGACAAAAGATTTGGATCCTGTCATTAAGCACTTCTATTGTGTTTTTTGTAACCACAAATGCACAGGTTCAATTTCTAGATTCAAACATCACTTGGGTGATGTAAGTTCGGGAGGAATGATAAGTTGTAAAAAAGTCCCACCCAATGTGAAGGAAGAATGTTTTTCTAATGTTATGGGAATTAAAGAGAAGAGGAAAGCTAGTCATGAGTTGTGTCGTGGTGGTGGAGAAGAAAGTGAAAGCGTCGATATGGGCACAACAAGGACAACATATGTAAGTAGTGGGAGTGCGAGTGCGAGTGCCACACATTCACAACAAACCGGTTCTTTTCTACCACCTATGTCAAGGGAACCACTTGATAGGTATGTTACATCGGAAGCTCGTCAAACCACGTTGAGTACACCTTTCAAAAAAGAGGAAAGAAGACAAGCATCCCGAGCACCGATGGTTCTACACTAGTGCCATTCCATTTAATGCGGCAAACAATGAATATTATGTTAATGCAATGAAATTGGTGTCCAATTTTGGTCCCGGCTTTGATACTCCTACAAGCCATGAATATAGAACTTGGATGCTCAAAGAAGAAGTTGATGATGTACAAAGTATGATGAAAGAACATTAAACGGCTTGGAAGAGATATGGATGCACTATTATGTCGGATGGCAAAAGTAGATGTTTAATCAACTTTCTTGTCAATAGCCCTCAAGGTACTTGGTTCTTGAAATCGGTTGATGCATCGGCCTCTATTAAGAATGGAGATTTGTTGTATGGCTATTTG